CAACAACAAGCAACGCCGATTTGCAAGAACAACGATACGCAACACCAATATGCAAGAACACCAACAAGCAAGAACAACAATAATACATTGATACATCCCAGCAAGATTGTACGCAATGCAACACCAACAACGAAGTCAATTCCCATGGTCAACACCCAACAACCTACCATTTTAAGAAATCAATATACTAGCAGCACAACCAAGCAGGTTTAAACTAATTCTTATTTTAATAACGAGGCAGGAATAGAATCAATAAGAAATATACATTTTGTATATAATGAATAAAAGCAATGCATGTTGGATATCCCTTATAACAAGGCGGGAATATAATAAATAAGAAATATTCATCATGATGTGATATAATCCAACTATCACTATAATAAATAAGAAATATTCATGATGTAATATAATCCAACTATTGCAAGATTTGGCAGGACATAAAGAAATGCATGTTGGAGTATCCTTAGGCATCCGTTGAGTAAAATTTTCAAAATATATGAAAGACTGTGTAGAAACAGTACTGAACATCATGCAACACGAGCTAATACAAGTTATTCTAATCTGCTTGCTTTAATCCACTTGCTTTTGCCATAACACAGAAGTCAGTATAAACCAAATGGAAGATGTGAATTAAAGATAAATTAAATGTAGTAAATAATTATAAACTTGACAATCAACAATGGGATTCATGCGCCAACCAGAACCAGGATCCTTGGAGGAATCATTGCTGTTGGATTCCTGCGCTGCCTAATCGGAATCRGAATCCTTGGAATCATCGCTGTTTCTTCTGGAGCAACAATTCTTCCTCTTGCAACCAGCCTTTGGACTGAAGTGCTGCATGGCAATGGTGACAAGGGATTCAAGAGCACTTCCACCAATTGCCTGGTAGGCCTCCTGCCTTTCTTTCCTGGCTCTCTCAGCAGCTATCTCACACTGTGCAACACATAGCTCCAAGGCCTTTACGACATCCCACTTTGCATTGGAAGTATTGTAAGAACGGACATGGGGTCTCTTCTGGGTGTGACAGCTCTTGCAGTTGCTGTTGCATTGACAACTGCAACTACAAAGGTCTCTTCCTGATGAGGAAGTTGTGAATCTTCTGTTTCTTGYGAAGCTTGGAGTACTAGCTGAGGGGGCGTGTCGTTGTTGTTCCTGTCATGACTAGCATTGCCACTGTTGTTGCCGCTGTTGCCATTTCCAGCAACATGAGGAGCCTGGTGGTTACCCTCAGGGTCACCATTSYGATGRTTAGGATGGACATATCCTTCTTCAATATCAAAGTGCTCCTCTCCATCTCCAATGTAAGTCTTCTCTCCA